GAGGGGGCCGGGAACTCCCATCCCCGTCGCTGGGGACCCTGCTCCCTTCTCCATCTGCATCAGAGCTGCTTCAAAGCAGAACAGATACCTGCCTTTTACTATCTAGAGCTGATTTTTCATTTTATTTAGCATCCTTTAAGCAATTTGCATATCCTGGGTCACTTTTATTATGAAATCACAAACAGGTATCTCTGTGCAAAGGCTCTCATTCAGGCTGGCAAGTGCTAGGCATGTGTCCTAGCATAGCTTCCTGTCACCTGCAGCTGACGTGACTGGTCAGGTCCCTCCCTGCCAAGCAGCCCAGACACCCACTACTCTGAGCAAGCACAGCAAACGTCACCTGTTAGCCTCTGAGATCCTTGAGTTAGACAGGTTGGCAGCCCGGTAAACAAGTGGTTCCCGTAAGTCCTCCAGCCTTGAACTCTTGCACTGGCACCTCAGCTGGAGCCTGCTTCTTCCTGAGCTCTGGGTTGCCCCCAACAGCCCCCAGCTGTGCCGCAGAGGGACCCTTGGGCACTGACAGCAGCAGTACCACGTGAGGTGGGAGTGGAGGGGCACAGGGGGGCCTAGCTGACCCGGGGGGAGCCCCTCCCAGGCCCCTTAAATCCTGGGCGCAGGGGCAGAGTGGAAGCCAAGGCCCCTGGGACACTGGGCTCTGACCGGCCTCTGTGCTCCAGCCTCCAGGAAGTCGTTCGTGTTCGAGCTGAACGAGTGCGCCTCCAGCCGCATCCTCAAGCTGGAGAAGGAGAACCAGAGCCTGCAGAGCACCATCCAGGGGCTGCGGGACGCGTCCCTGTCGCTGGAAGAGAGCAGCCTCAAGTGCGGGGAGCTGGAGAAGGAGAACCAGCAGCTCAGTAAGAAGGTAACCTGGGCCCGCTTGGGGCTGCGGAGGCACAGAGATCTGGGACGCCCGCCCTCCCACCACAGTCCTCGTCTGGAACAGACAGGCAGGAAGGTGGCCAGGCAGGGCACTCGGGCGTCGGGGAGGGCACGCCACTGGGACAGTGCAGCATCCAGGTGCAGGCACAATTACAACGGAGGGACACGGTGACACCTGAGGAGTATCGGAGGCAGCATGGCTGTCCCTGATCCGCTGGACATGTGACTTCTATGTATCGTGTCTCCTGTGACATGGGGTTGGTGGGCTGCCTACCTACCTACCTACCTACCTACCTGTAGACAGAGTGTCAGAGGCAGCATGGCTGTCCCTGCTCTGCTGGACATGTGACTTCTGTGTGTCTTGTTGTCTCTTGTGAAGTGGGGTTGGAGGGATACCTGCCTACCTACCTGTAGACAGAAAACCTTTTTCTCTTCTACGTCGCTGCTCTCAGTGCTTCACTTCTGACGCCAGATGTGTGGCTTTTCCCCACCAAGCAATTCTCCGGTTCTCGGTGGACACCAACTTGGTGTCCTCCAGTCTTACTCGCTTCTGACGCTGTCTACCTGGAGTTGGCGCAGACCCCACAGGTTGAGGGCTCAGTCCTGTAGGACTGCCCCCCACTTCAGATGCTGGTCCAAGTCCGGCTTGTCACCTGTGCTTCCAACTGACTAAATCAGAGGTTCCCAGACTGCCCTCCTTGGGGTCCACCATTTGCTAGGACGGCTTAGTGTATTCACTTATTGTAAAGGGCACAGCTCGGGAGCAGCCAGGTAGGATAGAAGTGCAGGCCTGGGGAGCTCCCACACCCACTCTGGGTCTCCCCCTCCCAGCGCCTCCACGTGGTCACCAACCTGGAAGCTCTCTGACCTTGCCCTTTGGGGTGGAAAAAAAAGCAAGGGTGAAAAAACAACGGCCAGTAAGGGCCAAACCCAACGCCAACCCCCCCGGCCCCCCCCGAAGGGGGGGGGCCGAAAAGTCCAAACCCCCAAACAAAGGGGTGGGTCCCCCGGCAAACAACCAACAACCCGAAGCCGGCCAAGAAACCCCCAGCCCTGGACATCTCACTAGCATACATGAAAGACACTTGTCACTTTGGAGATTCCAAGGGTTTTAGGAGCTCGTGCCAGGAACGTGGGCAGAGACCACATAGGCATTTCCTCTTGTGTCACATCACCTAACGGGCATGTGAGGGTGGCGGGAGCTAGTAAGGGGTCTGCACAGAGTAAGCGCTCAGTGAAGACAGCCGTGTGCTGCTAACAGGCGTGAAGTAGGGAAGGGAGCAGAAACAGTAATGTGAGGTTCCGAATTCCAGATGCGGAGCTGTGTGTGTGTGTGTGAGACCGTTGAGGAGCATTTTAGGGTCTTGCTGGTGGTAAAACGAGGAAGTCCATGCTCAGTCCCTCCTATTGGTTTACGGGACAGGGAAGAAGAGCCAGCCGAACTGCATTTGCTTTTAAGGACAGCTGCTGGGTCTCCCTGGTCGCACAGTGGAACCTAGACGGCCGGGAGAGCAGACACGTTTACAGGCCGGTCCTGTTCTGCAGTTAGAGGATCCCCGTTCAGGCGGCCGATTCGGTCTCAGGCCGTTGGGAGGCTGGGGGTTGCCTATAGGATCAGAGGACATCAGATCCACCTGGTCCACACCGAGGGTGGCACAGGTGCATGGTGGGCTCTGGACACGCCAGCTGGCAGATTCCAGCCAAGGGAGGAGGCGAGACCCTCTTGCTGGCTGAGCACCATGTCCGACTGGCACTTGCAGGTGTCTCCCAACCTGCCCCGAGTCCTGGCAGCGGCATAACCTGAGGCATCACAGGCTGCGGGAGGAGTGTGGGCTGCAGGCAGGATTCCTGGGTCCCCTTGGGCCTGCTCTGCTGTTCCCTCACCTCTTGGGACATCCCCTGCTGTGCGTGCTGTTCACTCTGGTCCCTTTGAAGCACTGTGTACCTTGCAGGGTTTGAGCTGCCAAGTGGTTTGTCGTCTCTTTGTAGGACAGCACAAAACACCCCCATCTCAGGCCACATCTTCTGATGCGGGGCAGCGTGGGGAAAGTGCCTGGACGGTCTTAGGTTCACGTGGGCCCGGCACAGGAAATGACTTCATACATGGCAGTCCACCCCTGGCCACGGTAAAACAGAATTGACCTTTAGGAAGATGAGAATTTCCAACTCTGCAGGTCCTCTCAGCTCTGCCCCGGAAAGCCTGCAGTGTAATCTCGCTGGCCCAGGGCCGTTGTGGGTCCCCTCCCAGCAGGCTGCAAGGGTGGCTCTCAGGCCTGTTGCCACCCCAGCCCGTCTGCTGTGGCCCCTCCTCTGCCCACCCAGCACGACTCCTTACGCCCCCGTCCCTCGGGTCCCACCCTCCTGCCTCTCTGGCCTGACACCAGCCCTCTCCTGGTGTGGCCCTTGGGAGGCCAAGTCTTGGCGCAGACTCCCTGGTGGCTGGGGGTTGGGAGGGCCGGAAGGGAGGGGCCACCATTCCCAGGCAAGAGCTGTCCTGCCTCCTCCCTGTCCTGCTCAGCCCACCCTGGGCCTGGCTGGAATCCGGCCCGACCCAGCAGGGTGGTTCTTTCACCCTCTGTACATGTTGCACTGTCTTATTGTCCTGACACCTGGCCCAGGTCGGGGACGGTAAGACACAGCGGTGCTCCCGGTATTGATGGAGGAACACTTTAGCACCAGCGGAGGGGCGCACTCCGGCCGCTTTGCCCCTCGGCCAGCTCAGCCCATCCTGAGCTCTTCTCCCCAGCCTCAGCCACCTGGCTAGCATCTCTCAGTCCATAAGTGAGCCCACCAGGCCCCGCTGAGCCCCACAGGGGACCCCGGGAGCCAGCCCAGCTCTCCCACCTCACCCTGAGCGTAGCCCAGGCTGTGAGCTGGCTTAGGTCTGAGACACCAGTGGAAATCATAGTTCCCCGAAGTTAAAACATCTTTCATCTAACTTGTGGCACCTCCATGGGTCCTAGAGAAGCTGTCTCCCTCCTGTGTCTGGAATTTTGTGTTGATTTCATAAGAGTGCCATCTTTGAGTCGAGAAGGAAAGAATCCTCATTTTCAGGGGAAGAGGGGCAACCCTTTGGGGGCCTATCACAAGGAGTCAGGAGCAGCCCATCTGGAGACATAGCAGCCCCGGGGCCCTGCGAACCCAGAGGCGAACCACAGGAGCCCGTAGCCCAAGCCAGGGGCTTCGGGAGGGACGGGAAACCCCCTTGGGGCCAGAAGGCCTGCAGCCAGCTCACGTCTCTGCACGGTCAGCTCCTCAGGGGCGCCGGCTCCTCTGGGGGTGGACAGGAGTGTGGGGCACAGCACCACAGAAGGAGAAACATGAGGTCCGGCAGTGGTGGGTGGGATCCGGGAAACCACATCTTTAGACCAGAAGCAGCAATGGTCAGAAACGTAAAGGTTGGAAAGGAAGGGGCAGCAGGGGTGAGGGGCCAAGAATTAGCAGCAAGTGGGGAGACGAGACAGCCAGACCCTGCGCCAGCCTAGCCCGGGGCGGGGTTGGGGGCTACGGGGCAGGCCCCCCTGGGAGCGAGAGTGGGCACCACTGCTGCTTCCTGCATTTGACCCGTGCTCTCCAGGCGGGCTCCTTGGAGGCGAGCTCCGGCTCCCACTGGGCCCCAGGCCTTCTGCTGGGAAACGGGAAAGATAAACAGAGTCTCACTTTTGAGAAGGACCCACAGGCAGCCTGGAGGGGTGAGGCACTCTTGTCCTGGGGTTCCCCAGGTTGGGGCAGGGAACGGGGTCTGAGCCCTGCCGGGCCCACCCGTGCCCGCTGGTGGACTCTACGCCTGCACCCTCCTGTGGAGGGTCGAGACTGCACAGACCTGGGCGGCAGGAGAGCTGGCGGCCCCTCACGAGAGAAGCGAGGCTGAGTTACCTTAGACGGTGAGCCTTAGTGTCACCCGAGGATCTCTGCAAACCTCTCCGTGCAGGCCCCACCCCGGCAAGCTGATTTAGAGCAGCGTCTCAGTCCGGACTAATCACCAGGGTCGCCTGGGCATCTCTGGATCTATCCCCAGAGGTTCTGATTTAACTTCGGCCTGAGGGTCAGTTTCCCAGAGCTCCCCAGATCGTCCTCCTTGAGAACCATAGTTTTAGAGCAGTGTTCCCAAACCAGCAGCCCAGGGTCGCTAGGGTTACGTCGAATGCAGATTCTCAGGCCCTGTTCTTTGGGAGGGTGGGGCACAGGTGGATTCTAGCAGAGGAGCCTGGTGTCGGGGGGATCCCTGGGCAGCTGTCCAGGCAGGAGGGAATGTGGCGGGGCCTGGAGCAGAGGCAGTGGGGTGTTAGCGGGTACAGAATGGATAGGAAGGACGGGGCCATGGTGACAAACTTGCATGGAGGTGGAAGAGGAAGGAGGACCACTCGAGCAGCTGGGTGACGTCACCTACTAAGGCAAGGAGGGAGTCTCAGGGAGGAGAACAGGGTGATGGGTGAGTGAGGTACCGTCGGGTGCCCAGCGTCGGCGGACCTGGGCAGTGGAGCACAGGAGGCTGGAAGAGGCAGAGGGAGGCTGGGGACAGATCCGTGCCTGATGGCCTCCTCTCTAGGAGAGAAGGTCAAGGGCCAGGAGGTCCACAGAACCACGCTGGGAGATTTCCTTGAGTAAAGTCTCCTTAAAGTGTTCTGTGGGGCTGAGAGGGTTTGGTTTTGTTCCAAAACGTGGTTCACCTGGCGAGACTGACTTCTGCCCCGGGCTGGGTCTGTGGGCTCTGCAGATCGAGAAGCTACAGACCCAGCTGGAGAGAGAGAAGCAGAGCAACCAGGATTTGGAGACCCTCAGCGAGGAGCTGATCAAAGAGAAGGAGCAGCTACAGAGCGACATGGAGGCCCTGAAGGCCAACAGGGCCCAGCAGGTGGGTGTCCCCACAGCTAGGGCCTCCCCCGGAGCCTTGCCTGGGAGAGGGGAGCTGAGGATCTTGGCCAGTCCTGGAAATGCGTCACGGGTGCGCGGGCTATCAGTCACCTCGCTTGGCTGCAGCTTAAACCAGCACTTCTCAAATGGCAGTGGGGAAAGGTGGCTGGGTTTCGTCCCCCAGGGGACGTTTGGCAAAATCTGAAGACATTTTTGGTTGTCACGACCTGGGGGAGAAGAGCGTTGGTGCTCCTGGCAGGGAGTGGGTAGAGGCCAAGGATTCTGCCAGATGTTCACAATGCATAACGCAGTTCTCCATGACAAAGAACGATCCGCCTGTGCATGTCCATAGTGTCCCAAGAACCCTGACAAACCTACATGATTTTATTTGCCACCCTCCAAGAAGTCCCAGGGTAGGCAGCCCAGGGCTATGCAGTGGCTCAGTGATGCCGTCGGGAACCAGGCCTCTCGCTTACTGCCCTGCCGGCCTTAGCAGTGGCTGCCGCACACCCCAAGGTACAGGTAGGAGGGAGGTGCACAGGGAGGTCCTCCTGAGGACCCTCTGGACACGTCGCCTTAGCCAGCTAACGCGTGACTGCCTCTGTCTGCAGGGGAGGAGGGAGTACTGAGAGTTTAGTTTTTCAGCCTCTGAGGTAGAGGAGTGAACGGGAGAAGAGAGTTGGGATGGCCCTGCACGTAGTGAACAGGCGGGGCCCTGCCCAGGTGTAGCTCAGCTGGGAAGGCAAAGGTAACAGGTGAGGCGATCTCAGGTGTGTGCTGCTGAGGGAGAGAATACTGGGGTGCAGGGCCACCTCAGAGCTGTCACGCAAGGCTTCTTTGTGGACCCCACCCTGAGGATGAGAAGCAGCTGGTGGGGCTGGAGTCCTAGGGAAAGCACTCCAGGCAGAGGGAACAGCATGTGCAAAGTGTCTGTGGGAGGAAGGGGCTGGGAGTGGCCTAAGAGGAGGCCACAGAGGTGGGCAGGGCCCAGTCATCAGGGTCCTGGTCCCATGACCAAAAGTACAAGGGAAATCGCTGAAACTTTCAAGTGAGGGAGAGAGATGTAGGTTACATTTTAAAGCCATCCTGGTTGCTCTGAGCGTATTTTGAGTTGAACTGTCTTAAGCAATTTTGTCTGCGCCTGCTCACCTGAGTCTACGTCAGGCCTCTGGGGAGCGTCATAGCATTTGGGCACAGGTAGGATGGTCGGTCCTTCAAGGCCTCTGCTTTCCAGCCCCTGGTGTGAACCGCATCACTGTAATAGGTTCTCACAGCAGCCTGGGTTTTGCCTGTTGTGTTTTCCCATAGATCAAGGACCTTGAGCAAGAAAAGGACCACCTCAACCGAGCGGTGTGGTCGCTGCGGGAGAGGTCACAGGTCAGCAGCGAGGCCCGCGTGAAAGACGTGGAGAAGGAGAACAAAGCCCTCCACCAGACGGTGACAGAGGCCAGCAGCAAACTCAGCCAGCTGGAGTTCGAGAAGCAGCAGCTGCACAAGGACTTGGAGCAGGCCAGGGAGAAGGGGCAGCGGGCAGAGAAGCTGGAGGGGGAGCTGCAGCGGCTGCAGGAGGAGAACGCGCAGCTGGCCAGCAAGGTGACCTCCCTGGAGACGGCCACCGAGAAAGCCACGGCCCTGGAGCACGAGAGCCAGGGCCTGCAGCTGGAGAACCGGACGCTGAGGAAGTCTCTGGACACCTTGCAGAACGTGTCGGTGCAGCTCGAGGACCTGGAGCGCGACAACAAACAGCTGGACGCAGAGAACCTGGAGCTGCGCAAGATGGTGGAGGCCATGCGCTTTACCAGCGCCAAGATGGCGCAGATCGAGAGGGAGAACCAGCAGCTGGAGCGCGAGAAGGAGGAGCTGAGGAAGAACGTGGAGCTACTGAAGGCACTGGGCAAGAAGTCGGAGCGCCTGGAGCTCAGCTACCAGAGCGTGAGCGCCGAGAACCTGCGGCTGCAGCAGAGCCTGGAGAGCAGCGGCCGCAGGTCGCAGGCCCTGGAGAGCGAGCTGGGCGAGCTGGAGGCCGAGCACCAGGCCCTGCGCCGGGACCTGGAGGCCCTCCGGCTGGCCGGCGTGCAGCTGGAGCGGGCCGAGAGGGACAAGAAGGCCCTGGAGCAGGAGGTGGCCCAGCTCGAGAAGGACAAGAAGCTGCTGGAGAAGGAGGCCAAGCGGCTGTGGCAGCAGGTGGAGCTGAAGGACGCCGTCTTGGACGACAGCACCGCCAAGCTGTCCGCCGCCGAGAAGGAGAGCCGCGCGCTGGACCGCGAGCTGGCCCGCTGCAGGGACGCGGCCGGCAAGCTGAAGGAGCTGGAGAAGGACAACAGGGACCTCACCAAGCAGGTCATCGTGCACACGAGGACGCTGACCACCCTGCGGGAGGTGAGCGGGCACAGGCGGCCCCTGTGAGTGGGGATGGCGGCAGGCAGGGTTCCAGGGTAGAAGTGGGACTCTGTGTTCCTCAAATGCCTCCGCGTTAAGGTCTGAGAGCCCAGGGTAAACGACGCATTCCAATCCTGCTGCCCAGAGAGAATCGCTCCGGTGTTTCATTCCATTGTTTCCCCGTGTGTGTCAGCAGACACACGCTCCATATGCTGTGTACACAGGGGAGCTGTTCTGTTTTTTTATTTATTATGTCTTATTAAATAGGTTTTAAAGCCACAATTACTCAATGGATTCAAGATACTGGATCCTGTAGGTTTACTGTGATTATTTTTTGGACATTTAGGTGCTTTCCAGTATTTTCCACTATTAAATAACACTGGATGTCCTTGCATACACATACACTATCATGAATCTATCACACTATTTTCTTAGAATATGTTCCTAGAAATGGAATTACAGGATCTCTTGACGGATTTAAAACTCTCCTACTTTGCCCTGGCATCCTTTGCGCGGGTCACCCGAGCATTCGTGCTGTACATTAGGGTGAACGGCTGCTCTAGGAGATGACTTGAGCATCTGAGCGGCCTGGCGCAAGTTTAGTCTCACACATGCAGGAATTTAGTCTGGGGGCCGTCCCACACTGAGAGAAGCCCACGTGGCCGAAGCGGGTCCCTCAGTCGCTGTGCTTAAGGCCATGTTCCAGTGCCCAGCTTCCGCCATCTTGTGGCCCGGCCACCCCCTGGCAGAGTCCTCCTCTGGCCCCTCTGCGTGGAAGATGGCACTTTGTGGGCAGAGCTCAGAAACGCAGCCACACCCAGTGTGTGGTGCTGTGCGCCAAATCAGCTTTGGTGAATGCAGAGCACAAGCAAGTCAGTGAGCCACGGGGGAGAGATCCCAGCTATGAATACACGTCATAGCCCCGTCTCTGTGAGCCTGGGGTTGGGTCGTGCTGCGGTAACCAACAACCCTAGGATCCCAAGGCTGAGAGCAGCAAAGGCTCACCTCTCACTCACCGGAGGCCCGGGGACTCTCCGCGGGGTCTGTCCTCCATGCTGCCATCGGCAGTCCAGGCTGTTTGATCTCACAACTCCGCCAGCTCAGCACCAGGCTCAGGTGGCTGTGGCAGGTGAAAGGCAGCCGAATGTCACACACACACTCTTCCGTGCTTTAGCCAGCAAGTGCCCCACGTCACTCCCACCCACAGCCCCTTGGCTGGGACTGGTCACCTGGCTTCAGCTGACGCAGGGTGGCTGGGAAATTTGGGGGAGCAGGTGGTGAGCATCACTGCCTCCGTCACACTGCCACTGCGGGTCTCACGATTCGGCACGAGGGATGAGCATGCATGTGAGTACCTGTGACACCGGGCGGAGAGTGGTCACTGGCTGGAGAGCCGCAAAGAGGGGCTGAAGGAGAGTGGGATGGAGGAGGGGAACCACTCATGTGAGTTCCACACCCAGGTTCTGAAAAGGAGACCAAAGCCAGAGTTTGAAATAACATCTTTGCCCTCTTTATACTTCTTTTCCGTCTGTTTCAGCCTGTCTGCAGCGAGCATTTCATTACTTGTTGCTCCATAGAAAGGCAGTCGTACTGTCAGAAACCAAACGTGCTAGTCAGAGGTCAGCAAAAGTGGCATTCCAGACACATCTTAGGGGAGCAGCCCCTTAGCCCCATCCCCAACAGTGGCACGTGGTCTGGTCGTTTGCAGTGTCAGGAGGGCTGGAAAGCGTGCTCGCTCCCTTTCTGCAGGAAGAGCATCCCAGAGGCTCAGGGTTCCCCACGAGGCAGTGGTGAGCCATGGCCTGGGAAGACGGTTGCTCAGCCCTGAGCCAGGCTGGCACCGGCCTCTCTGCCATCTTTCTGCTGCGCTCCCGTCCCACACGCCTGCCTCACTGTCGTTGCAGGACCTGGTGCTGGAGAAGTTGAAGAGCCAGCAGCTGAGCGGTGAGCTGGACAAACTGGGCCAGGAGCTGGAGAAGGTCGGCCTCAGCAAGGAGCTGCTGCTGCAGGACGACAACAGCAACGGTGACACGTGAGGGCGTCCCCTCTGCCACGGGAGCTCTTCCCGCCGCTGCATGGTCTCCAGGCCTCAGCCTGAGACCTCCGCTTACTCTCCACAACTCAGGGTGCTGTCCTCACATGGTTCCTTAAGCCGATGTCCCTTATATTCCACGTCTTGTTCCCTGAGGCTCTCAGGCAGGTGTGGAAATAGATTTCTGTCTGATAAAAAGGCTTCTTGATTTTTTAAAAAGTTTGACGATTGCAGCTTCTCTCTGCAATGCTTTCTTAAATGGCCTCATTTTTCAAGGACATTTAGCATCTTGGACTTTTCTGGGACTTGTAACCAACAAAATGCACATGCCTGAGAATGGGATACCTTTTTAGTGGAAAGGCCGTGGACTTACCACTTAGCTAGCACTGTGGCCTTGGGCAAATTGTTTAACCTTTCTGAGACTCAGTTTCCCCATCTGTAAAATGGCCATAATATGATAATATCCCCAAGACAGTGACTGTAAAACTATAGCCATGGTGTCATGTTTGAAGGTATCACAGGTGTGTCTACTCAGGGAGCCGTGGAGAGGGTGCTGGACAGCTGGGTTTGGGCTCCCGATTTCTTGACTGCAGCGTGGTGAAGAAAACCGGCTTTATGGAAGGAGAGATGTGTTGGCAGTTAGGAGATTGGGAGCTCGCCGGTGAAGAGGCAGATAAACGATACTGTTACACCTTTACGTTTTTCAGAAAGTACAAGATTTTGGAGGGCAGAAATGAATCAGCACTGAAAACAACACTGGCCATGAAAGAAGAAAAGATTGTGTTCTTGGAAGCGCAGATGGAAGAGAAAGTGAGCCTGAACCACCAGTTACAGAACGAGCTCCAGACGGTAAGAGCTGCCGCCGTGGAGTTGCGTGTTGGGCCCGAGCTGTCGGGTCTCTGCCTCGCCCTTTCCAGCCCCTGGTCTGTGTGGCAGATTCCTGGGGCAGGGATGAACCGCCATCAGAATCACGTGCGTCAGGACAGGACAAAGCCAAAGGGAGAGCCAGAGGCCCGCGGGGGGAGGAGGCAGCGGCTCAGAGCGGCACCGAGTCTGCCAGGTGGGGTCTGGGGACACCCCTTGAGAGCCCCATGCAAAACCAAGCCACAGGCACCGAGCGGCAGCCTGCAGGTGGGGTAGACAGTGCCCAGTGCTGATGAAGATGCGCACGTCTGCTCCTGGTACACGCATGCACATGTGCTCTCCACATACGTGCATACACTTTTCACATGAATATAGATGTGTGCTTGCCACACATCTATGCATGTGTTCTCCACGCATACATATGCACATGCTCTTCACACATACACACTTGCTCTCCACACACATACACACTCCACACATACACATACGTGCTCTCTATGTGTGCACACACTCCCTCCTTACACACATACTCTTCCATTCCTCCTTTTTGAATGTGGGCCACATTTCTTGGCTGGAGGAATGAGTAGGAATCTGGAGCAAAGCAGTTCTAGCGCTGGCAGAGGCTTTAGAACATACATGATCACCTGGTCCCTATTCTCAGACTCACCTCCGTTTTATGGAGTGGACAGTTGAGGCCCAGGAGGGCAAGAAGACTTGCCACAGTCACGTGGCTGAAGTCGGGATGTGGCAGGAGTGGGTCGCAGGCCCCTGCCCTGCCTGTCATCTCTGAAAGTAAAGGGGAAACATGGAGGACAGAGCTTATGTGCCCTCCCCTCAAAAGCAAAAAGAGCGTGCCTGGCATATCACACACGAGGGCAGGGGAGTGGCTGGCATGGGGCCGCCCTCAAGCCACTGAGGTGGGGCCCGGAGCCAGGCTTCCTGTGCCTGAAGTCTGCTTTCTTGTTGCCGTGCCCTGCAGCTGAAGAAGGAGTGTGAGACCCTCAGGCAGAGCCAGGAAGAGGGGAAGCTCCTGCAGAACTCTTTCAAACACCCCGTGGGGAAGACGGTCGCCGGCAGCCAGGGGAAGGAGACCTGGGGGCCCAGCCACAAGGAAGCCACGATGGAGCTGCTCCGAGTGAAGGACCGGGCCATCGAGCTGGAGAGGAACGTGAGTGGGCTGCCCCGGCCGCAGTGGCTCAGGGAGAGACCTATGGCTGGTCCCATTGACAGCGCATCGTTACTATGAAGAACACGGGACGTCAGAGTCTGTTGCAATTGGTCCAGATCTAGCTGGATACTTTTTGAGTTGTCCCGGAAGGTCCGACAGGCTCCTCCTCACTTGTGGTGCCTTTGGTGTTTCTCACACCAGGGGCAAACTCTCCATCTCCCGCGGTGCGTTGCTGTCCTCCTGCCCATGGGACAGTGTTAGGTGGTTGAGGCAGAGACCACATGGCTGGCAAAACCCAAAAGTGTTTACTGTCTGTTCCTTCCAGAAAAAGTTTGCTAATGCACGTCTATACCTCTGGTTTTATCTGATTCTCAACAGTGACTTTACGAAGTCCTTAGGGATGACTTTCATTATTTGACAGATTAGAATTTAAGAGACTTGACCCAAAGGCTTGTGCTGATAAGGGATAGTACAAGACTATGGCCCAAGGGTCCTGACCCCTAGCCCAGTTTTTGGCATACTTTACGTGGTCTTTATTAGTCTCTTGTAACACGAAGCTCCTTATTCTACCTGCTGTCACTCCTAAGTAGGGCGAAGCTATAGACTAAGGCTTTGCCTTTCTGTCCTATGAGAGACTTGGGGTTGTTGTCAAGGGAAGATGGATTTGGCTCACTGAAATGCACTCTCAGGTGTTCAGCAGAAAACAAAGGCATTAAAGAGAGAAAGGAAGAAGTGGCTTTAACTCCAGCGTGCCTCGGCCTCACTCATGTACTCAGGTGCAATGCACTGTCCCCCATGTTGTGTGGTCTTTTTTTAAAAAATTCTGTTGAGAGAAAATGGTATTTCCTTCACCTGATGGACCTTGGCTTTGGCCCCCAAAGTGTCGACTCTTGGGGGTTTGTTACAAGCCAAGGACCTATGACCAGTTAGCATCTTCCCAGCCGGTTTGATTGGCTCACGCTTCCCCATCTTCTAGAACGCGGCTCTGCAAGCCGAGAAGCAGCTGCTCAAGGAACAGCTACAGCACTTGGAGACCCAGAATGTGGCCTTCAGCAGTCAGATCCTGACGCTGCAGAAACAGAGCGCCTTCCTGCAGGAGCACAACACCACGCTGCAGACACAGACAGCCAAGCTGCAGGTGAGCGCGTGGCTGGGGCCAGCAGGTCAGAGCCCCGTGCGGATGTTTATCTGTGGCTCTGAGAGACTAGCGAGGCACCAGGACTCCTAAGCAGCAGCAAGACAATGTATGGGGGAAGTTGGGGGCTTTGTTTTGTTCTTATTATAATAGGCTTATAAACAGTGATCTGAGAAGGTGGTGATGGTTTACAAGCCATCTTCAGTGATGGAACCTATTGCTGCACAGGTGAAAAACATCATTTCTCTGCCTTCCCTTGCATTCTTGTCCATGTTTCCCAAAGTCTGTTCCTTGAAATGTAATTAGAAACGACTTGGAAAAGAGCTTGGGGATCAAATAGAACAGAACAGAACAGAATTAACCAGGTTTCTTTACATTAGAACCTGGCAGAGCCTTTTTTTAAGCACATGTGAATTTTTAATCCCAGAGGGCAGTGGGCTCTGAAGTGGCTCCCGGACCGTTGGGAGCGGCCAGCAGAGCCAGCGTCTGTGCCACCCAGGACAGATGCTGTTCCTGTTTACAATGAGTAGATTGTGGGAAGATGAATTTGTCCTTTATTAACGCAGTTTCTGAGAAGAGTTTGAAGATATGTAACTTACAGGACAGGGATGATGAACAGGAAACTATTTGGCAAAGAGGTTGGCATTGATCGTTAAAACAAGAAAATAAGATACTGATTTGTTGGTTTATTCCTTCTTGTAAATTCCTTGCCTGGTTTTAATGTCATGGTAATTCTGGCTTCGTAGAATGATGTGGGAAGTATTCCCTTCTCTTCCATTTTCTGGTGATTTTGGATGTTGTTGGATGGAGTGTTCTGTAAATATGACTTACGTTGGTTGATAGTGTTCTTCAGGCGGTCTGTATCCTCACAGATGTTCTGTCTACTTGTTCTAGAAAAATAGGCTTTTAAATACAGTCAAAGAGGGCACACTAGGAGGTAACCTAGAGAAAGGACATGTGATAGTTTACCCCGAAAGCTCACATCTGTAAAGCGACTCAGGACCGCAGCACGGTCTGATAGTCCACCCCTTCCCAAGGCAGGTCCTTCAGTTCTGGTACAGCTGTCCTCGGCCCTCCTGGGTCTTGCCTGCCTGGAGGTCCCGGTTATTTTCCCGTCTGCCTGGAGTGCTTGACCTGCTCCCTGGCCCTGCTCACCACCTGTGGGGGCCTGGGCTCCTGTGGGTCTGCACACGGTGAGGCCCGCGGCCGTCTCCCTCTTGCAGGTGGAGAACTCCACTCTGAGCTCCCAGAGCGCCGCGCTCACCGCACAGTACACGCTGCTGCAGAACCAGCAGACGGCCAAGGAGAATGAGAACGAGAACCTGCAGAAGCAGCAGGAGCAGCTGACGGCGGCCTACGAGGCCCTGCTCCAGGACCACGAGCACCTGGGCACACTGCACGAGCGGCAGTCGGCCGAGTACGAGGCCCTCATCCGCCAGCACAGCTGCCTGAAGACGCTGCACCGGAACCTGGAGCTGGAACACAAGGAGCTGGGGGAGAGGTGAGGCCTGGGGAGGGAGAGGCGGGGCTTGGCGAGGTGGGCGGGCCTGGAGTAGGCAGGGCCTGCAGCGGATCTGCAAAAGACTGGGGCTTCCCCACCCCCGCTGCATTTCCTCTTGGCCCACTGCTTCCCGTTGTTGGGGCACCTGAGCTTTCCCAAAGGGAAGGAAATAAAACACCACCTTCAGCAACTTGAAGTTTGTGCAGCTGGAGACTGAGCAGGGAAGAAGTGCCATGGCTCCTCCCTGCTGGGGAAGCCCCTCGTGGCCTTGGGGGCCCTGTCCTCTTAGGAATTCTCTCCTTCTTTCCCTTCCCCCCCAAAGCAGAAATAAGGAGGAGATTCTCTGTGGCCACCAGTTCACAGGGATGTGCTCGTCTAGCTTCCCTGGCCGCCTCTTCTGTATCAGAGCGTGGCTTGCTTGCTTTTTTTAAATTTTTAAGCTTTAATTATGGGAAATTTTGAATATATAGAAAGTAAGCAGAGTAGTGTAGTGAAACCCCTGTGAACCCATCCCCCAGCACCCACAGTCATCTGTGTCCTTCCGCTCTTGTTTCATCTACGCCTCCTACTCTCCACTCTCCACACCCACTCTCCTTTTTTTTGTTGTTTGTTTAAGGTAAAATGCACAAATCTTAACTTTGCATTCTTGACAGCTCAGGCTTGGGTGTTGTATTTATTAATTCAGCGACGTCAGCTGAGCTCCTGCCTTGTGCAAACCACGGATGGTCCCAGGCACCTGGGTAGGTGTGGCAGGATCCAGGGAGGGCGAGGACAGGATGCTGCTCCCCAGTCTGAGGGGGGATGTGACATGCGCCTGACTCTAACACGCCTAAGAGAGAGGCGGGTCTGAAGAGAGACTCTCGAATACCTGGAGTAGAGCAGAGGGCGGAGATCCACTTCTGGTGCGTGTGAATGGCCCTGCTGACGGCACTTCCGCTGATCTGGCCTCATTGAGATGATGACACAAACGTTGGTTCAAGGTGGGAGCAAGCAGGACGTTTCCACTGCAGGGAGCCAGAAAATCCTCGCATGGCACTTACGATGCTCACGGGTATGTGGGTGGTGGTGACATTCATTTACTCACCCGCCACATGCTTCCTTTTTGCCCCTGTCTGGGGTCCTCCAGCCCCTGTCCCATCCAGATCTGTCCTTCAGGGGCTGCTGAGGCATCTGCGCCTGTAAGACTCTGCTCCTTCCATCTCTCCCTTCTCCACCCGTCCCGTATTCATGCTGCATTTATTGCGTATCTGCTGTATACACGGTGCTGTGTCTAGACATGGTGGCGGTGCACTCAGTTGACTAATGAAGTGGAGCAAAAAGCATTCACAGGAATCTGATGCTAGCATGATGCCCACCTCTCAGCAGGCACTTAAGGAAGCATCTTACTCTTAGGGGCCTGTTATATCATGACAGTGTCTTAGTGTATTCTTAACATCCGTTAAGGTTTTCACTGGTGGTATTTTCCCTGCGGTTCCTTGCTCAATGCAGCATGGAGTGGTTACTCAGTACTTCTTGCTGGCTGGACAGATGACTGGAGGCCCCTTGGTCTGTCTGCAGCAGGGCTGCGGGTTTAATGGTGCAGGCGTTTGGAGCACAGGGGTGACAGCTCTTTATTCTCTTCATTTGACACTTAAATCGGGCAAGCTCACCTGTTTGTTCCTCTAACAGATACTCCCTGTGCATTACTCTTTGTGCCGGGGATTCGGTGGTGAGCAAGAAGACTAGTGAAGTTTCTGCCTTAGAGTTGGGTAGTTACCACTGGTTAGAGATGCACCTGGACAGTGTGCGTCTCTAAGATGTCACAGCAAAGGAGCAGGAGATGGGGAGACTTAATGTGGTCCTTGTTTGTCGAACTTGAAGGATTTTTTCCAGAATCATTAGCCCGGATGAGAAAGGTCATCACTCTGAAAGCCGGGCAGAGCCCCAAGCCGTGTGCTTCGCCATGGTGATGGCGAAAGGCCACACAGACATGTGTCTTTTAGCAGCTGCCTAAGCAGGTTTCCAAGTTTGGTTCCCCACGAGTCTGGGCTCAGGCAGATGGTAGAAGGACGGCTGAGATGGGGGCTGTGGGGGACGGGGTTCTGGAGATAAAGGCTGGCTTCCCTGGAGCACTGGCCGGTCTCTGTCAGCCTGTCCTGAGTGTGAAACGCTCAGAAAGGAAGGGGGCCTCTCGAGAGGGATTGGCCTGAACAGGGCAGGTCCAGGGCTGTGCCTCAGACCCCTCACCACTTGCAGTCTGCGTGCACCCCTCGGACTGGGAGGAGATCCCGCGTCATCCGTGAACACAGAAGGCTCCAGCACAGCGGGAGGAGGAAGGGCCTGGGCTTGTCAGACTCCGACCTTGTGCTCTGCTGCCCTCCAGCGCCGGCCGTGCAGCCTGCAGAGATCGAGTCTGGAGGAGAAAGTTGAAGCCGGGAGGGGAGGGTAGAAGCCGTAGGAGAAGGTGAGGGCTGCGTGGAGGGGCCCTGAGAAGTGCACTGTGTGTGCACATGCATGTGTGTGTGTGACAGCTGCTAGCCGCTGGCAGCTCCTGGGCAAGCCTCTGTCCCTCGGGAAGGGCAGCTGAGAACAAGCAGACACCAGCTCCCAGGGGAGGGGTGAGGGATTATCTGTTAAGCGAGTGGAATTCGGCTGTTTATGTTGTGGTTTCTCTTAGATCTGTTTGTGTTTAGTGAACCACCTAGTAGCTTATTTATAATTCCCTAAAAGAGAAGGGCATGGAGTTCAGAAAATGTAGTCATTGCGTTGCCAGGTGGCTGAAGGAAGATGCTTTGTGACAGGGCATCAAGGGGACTGTCGAGACGGATCAGACCAGAGCAGGAGGATCCTCAGCCCCAGGGCCAGGTGCTGGCCCGGACACACTCCAGCAGCGGCTCCCTGCTTCTCTGCCATCCAGCCTCTCTCCACCTGTGCTCTACCCTGTCCCTGTCCCTTCTGCAGAGAAGCCTCCAGAGGGACCACTTTCTCAGAGGCGTCATCCAGGTCTTGTGGGGCGTGAGTTACCTGTAGGAAAAGAAGGCCCAGGCCGGACTCCCAGCGGGTGTGTTTCCCTCCGGCAGGCACGGCGACATGCTGAAGCACAAGGCGGAGCTGGAGGAGCTGGAGAAGGTCTTGACCGCCGAGCGGGAGGCTCTGCAGCAGGAGCAGAGGACGAACGCCATCGCCGCGGGCGAGAACCAGAGGCTGCGGGGGGAACTAGACAGGTAGGTGCCGGCGCCACGGTGACCCTGCCCAGCCCCGAGTGCAGCGGCATTTGGTGCCAGGATCCTGTGCAGACCAGTCTCACTTAGCAGCCACTAAGAGAAGGTCAAGTGATTCCTGGCTGCCGTGTCCTTTACAAACCTCGTCGTGTTAATAGCTGGGTAGGTAACAAAGTAAAGGGTAACTCGAGCTGGTTGCTGGGATGTGAGGACAGTGCGTTGTCTGAGTTTGATGGTTCTCACCTCCCGCCCTCACGCTGACAGTTGTCAGGCACAGATGTGCCTATTATTTGACGTCAGCCCACAACATTCTCATGAGGAAGGTACAGCCGATCCTCCCAATTCACAGATCTGCATCTGCGAATTACCTGCTTGCTAAAGTTTACTTGTAACACCGAGATTAGTACTCACGGGGCTTTCGTGGACGTGCACAGAGCAGTGAAGTATCCGTCTCCAGATGTGCGTGCTCCCAGCTGAGGTCGAGCAGGGCGATGCTCTGCCTTGTTTCCGTTCTCCTGCTGCAAACAAACGTCCTTTTCAAAATCTCTTCAGTGCCTCGTTTTCATATTTTGTGCTTTTGCTGTTTAAAACAGCCCCCAAGCGTAGTACGTAAGTGCTGTCTAGTGTTCCTAAGCATTAGAAGGCTATGATATGCCTTTCAGAGAAAACACATGTGTTAGATAAGCTTTGTTCAGGCATGAGTTATAGTGCTGTCAGGTGTATGTTACATGGGGTGTCTTTAAACAGAAACGCACATGAGCAAGGTTACGTACTGATCAGTCGACCAGAGGCTCCCAAGAACCTATCCCTGTGGTTTCCCTAAGGCATGATGGTTCTGTATTCACTAATTCAGTGTTTGCAACAACTTTATAGAACATGACAACTGTCAATAATAGAATTGACAGTACTATTATTATCCTCCCCCCCTTTTTTTCCTCTTTTTTTCTTTCTTTTTTTGTTTTTTTTCAGTTGAGGAAACAGGTTCAGAGAGATTAAATAACTTTTTCAGGGTCAGTGTTTCCAGTTAATGGCAGAGTCAGGAGAGAATCCAGGTCTCCTCTCACTCCAAAGGCTTAACCGTATAAAGCTCTTCTTCCTCCCACGTCCTCATGTCGCTGTACACGGGAGGTTCTGAACTCAGATGCCTCAGTGACCAGGCAGGTAAAGCACGTGGGTGAAACGGTGCCAGCCACAGACCACGGACTGTGAAACGGAGACCCCGTGCCGTGTAACAGGGCAGGCGAGAGTCGGCTGCAGTGAAGGCTGCCAGCTGGAGGCAGGCCCGGGGCTGCCAGGTCAGCCTTTGGTTTTATATTTTTTTAAGAGAACTTGGGTATTTGGATGTTGATGTGAAACTTCCAAATTTTTAAATGTTGGCAAAATAATTTGTTTTTAAAAAATAGAATTATACAGGCCGAGTAAGACGCACGTGTGTCCAAATCATGTCCATAAGCCCCTGGTCATTTGAGCTTTCTGATAAAAATCTGAGAAACCCCAGTTGGATAAAAGTTATCATCATGATGATAATTTTGGTAGGTTTACATGATACCCACTGTCTCATATTTTATTTATTTCAGAAATTGAAATTAGGGGCTTGGAATTGGGAAGAAGAGCTGGGCAGAGACAGAATTTTAGCACAAAAATGTTCTGGTCCAGTGTTTAAAAAAATTTTTTTAATAGCAGAATCCCTTTATCCAAGTACGCAGAGATGCGAAAGCTATATCGTAGAAGAGACGGTGGCAGTGACGCTCTGTTGACACAGGTGTCTGAGCCTGCCTGCTCGGTCTCCCCCAGGCCCAATGTGTTGGCACCAGGGGTACCTCATGGAACCCTAAAGAACACAATTTGAGAACCAGCAATTTTGTTCAACCCCCTCATTTGACACGTGAAAAAAAATGAGGCCCAGAGAGGTTGTGATTTTTGTATAAGGTTGCACAGCCTGCTCCACTCTCCCGGCCATTATCTCTCTCGAGCCTCTTTAGCCCCTTTGCCCTTGGCTCTCCGCCCCCAGGGTCAGCTTCCTGCACCACCAGCTGAAGGGGGAGTATGAGGAGCTGCACGCCCACACCAAGGAGCTGAAAACCTCGCTCAACAACGCGCAGCTGGAGCTGAACCGCTGGCAGGCCCGGTTCGACGAGCTGAAGGAGCAGCACCAGAGCATGGACATCTCGCTGACCAAGCTGGACAACCACTGCGAGGTGAGGCCCGGCCGGGGCGGAGCCTCAGGGTACTGGGGACAAGGCCCTGGGGTGACAGCCTGGGGCCCAGCCAGGCTGTGCTGAGTCCTCATGGGAGTCTGGGCTTAAAGACGGCCACCTTTTCACTGTGTCCTCTCGTGGCCTTTGTGGGCTCATCGCCAGTGTCTCTCTGTGTCCACACGTCCTTCCTAGAGGACTCCAGTTGGGCGGATCAGGGCCCAGCTTCATGGCGGCCCCATTTCAAGTTAATCGCCTGTTTATAGGCCCCGGCTCCAAATGCAGTCGCACTCTGAGGGACCCGGGGTTAGGGCTTCAGCATGTGAATTTCGGGGACACAGGTCAGCCCATCGCGGAGCCGAGCTAGGTGACGGGAGCGAAGGATGGGTGTGCCTTGGCTTTGAGCTGCGCTCTCCGCCTCTCCACCCCCACCTCTTTCTGGGAGGCCCGTGTGTCACGACTGTGTTTGTTGCTGGACGTCTGCTAAGGTGACAGAGCAGCTGCCCCTCGCCGTTGGGACGCATGTGGCCCTCACAGTCGTGGACTCAGGCTGAAGGGGGGTGCCCAGCGGCGCTTGGATCCCTGGGACCTGTGGCCACACCGGGGTCTTTCCAGGGCTGGTGTTGATCCTGCAGACGGCTGATGCCACGTTTGTGACGTGCTTTCCTCCCAGGCCTAGTGCAGTTCTCTGCGCCGCGGAAAGGAGCATGTTTATCATGATGTTTACTTTACTCGTTGCCCAAGTAATGTAACGATGACAATCATAAAAATATTTTTAGTGAATAAAATGTCATAATTCTCATCTCCTTTTTCCCTCTAGTTCCTCTCCCTGTGTGTACATAAATTGTGTATAATTATGTTCCCATTAGGCCTTCAAAATCTGCTGTGCATTTTGCACTTGCAGTACGGCCTCATCTGGACTCACTGCGTTTTAAGTGCTCAGTAGCCGCACGCCGTCAGGGGCACCTGGATTGGACGGCGCAGTTGTGGAGGGAACTCAGTCATTCCCCCGTTACTAGCTACTTTGTGCTTTCCAAGTTCTCACTAGTGTAGATAATACTGGCGTGAACAGCTTTGTGCACTTGGCCTCTTCCTTCCTTGGGAAGCTGTGTAGGTTCCCAGTGGTGTTTGAGATGCTGTTGGTCTGTGTTTTAGCTGCTCTCCCGGCTCAAGGGGAACTTGGAGGAAGAAAATCATCACCTCTTGAGCCAGATCCAGCTGCTGAGCCAGCAGAACCAGATGCTTCTGGAGCAGAACATGGAGAACAAGGAGCAGTACCATGAGGAGCAGAAGCAGTACATGTAAGGGGCCCCTCTCCCCAGCTGTCACAGCAGGGAACCCTCAGTCTCTGGAGTCCTGGCTTCCCTTGCCCCACACCAAAGGCCTGTGACATGGTGGGCAAGGAGCAGTCCTGGGCACAGACCACTCACCAAGGCAGACTTCCCTTGGTTTCTTGGAACGTCCTCCACTTCTGAAAGTCGTGGTCATTGGCTTTGGTTTGCTTTTTCAAAGGCACTGTCCGCTACTAGAAGCTTCTTTTTCTGCTTTTGGAATTAAGTTCGCTTTTAAAAATATGACAGCACCAAAAAGAAGTATCTCAGGGAAAGAATTCAGACTGAAGGCTAAGAATGAGAGCCATAAACCTGTCTTTCATCCCCTCGCCTATGTTCCCCTGGAGAGGGTTTGGTGTGCCCTGCTTGTCCTCACTCCGCTGGTGTTTGTGAAGTGCCAGTTTAACCACAGGCCCTGTGAGTGCACAGAACCAGTTCTCTGGTAGCCGGGAACCATAGCGGTGATAGGATGTGAGCAGAGCTTGTCTGACACCAGCCAGACATGAAGGGCTACACGGAGGCGTGGGATGGGGGGGTTGAGTTCTGCTGCTACATGTTGGGAAGTTTGGGAAGGGATGCTAGTCTGGCAGGGCCTAGAAGTTGCCAGAAAAGAGGATAAGAGGCAGAACCCTGGAGCTAGAAACCTTGTGATTCAAGAATCCAGGGTGGGCCGGGCGCGGTGGCTCACAGCTATAATCCTAGCACTCTGGGAGGCCAAGGCGGGCAGATTGTTTGAGCTCAGGAGTTCGAAACCAGCCTGAGCAAGAGTGAGACCCCATCTCTACTAAAAAAAAAAATAGAAAGAAATTATCTGGTCAACTAAAAAAAATATATATAGAAAAAATTAGCCGGGCATGGTGGCGCATGCCTGTAGTCCTAGCTATTTGGGAGACTGAGGCAGGAGGATCCCTTGAGCCCAGGAGTTTGAGGTTGCTGTGAGCTAGGCTGACGCCATGGCACTCACTCTAGCCAGGGCAACAGAGCGAGACTCTGTCTCAAAAAAAAAAAAAAAAAAAAAGAAGAGGTTGGACCGTCCGTCCGTGTGCTCAGGAGTGGCTGGAGGGTGCTGGCGCAAGTGTGCGGAGGGCAAGCTGGGACACGTCTCTGTAGGGACTTGGGCACCTGAATGCCATGTGGTGTCCCTGCTCCCCTGGTAAAACGACGCTCCTCATCTCTTCCTGCCTTCATCTGCTCGTCTGGCGGCAGCTCACCACCTACCGAAGGACGGTTTATGTGTAAAACCGCGCTGCGATTGCAGGGTAGAGATGACGGTTGCCTGAAGTTGGCCCTCTGTAATCCCGCCGATAAAAATCGCCAGCAGAGGCTGAGCAGGTGCTGACTGGAAGGAGCAGGAGCAGTACCCAGGGGATTATTGGATGACGTTTTGCATTAGAGAGTGTCTGCCCCAGGCTGGCGGGTTGGCAACTTTCCTGGAACCTGCTCCGGGCCCCGTGAGTTCATGGGGGTCTATGTGGCCAACCCCAGCCGTGAAAGCGTGAGGCCCAGCAGCGTGGCTGTGAGGACAGAACACCAGGACCCAGGCGGCGTCGAGGGGTCTGGGAGCAGAGCGTGGCTGGGGTCACTTTCCACAGGGGCTCACCTCCCGGTGAACCCTCTAAAAAGCCTCCAGTTTGGACAGAACCTCAGCAGCTTTGAGAACAAGGACACTTGGGCCTCTCGTCTAAGGCCTCATTTTCAAACAGGGAAACCAGGGCTCCGAGCTACGGAGACCACACAGGTGGAGAGGCAGGAGCGGGCAAGAGTACACACAGCCCGCCACTCGCCAAGCCCAAACTAAAGCTCTCCCTTCATGTTAGGAAGGACAGAATCTTCCGGTAAGCAGGGTGCCTTGTGGCTCCTCAGGGTTCAAAAGGCATCTCTCCAGTCCTTTGCTGTGTTTTTTTTTTAAACGTGAACCGGTTTCCAACACCTAGAAGTCAGGAGATTTTGTCTTATCGCCTGGGCTTCTGGCTTCTCAGGAGGTCCGTCCCACTGGGCCTGTGCCCGTCCACACGTGGCTGGGATCTGCTGGCTCCTGAAGCTTGCTGCGGTCCCCTCCACTCCCTCTGGTCTCTCCAGCACCGTTTTGCTCATTATCTTCTCTGCTTGGCCCCTGAAAGCTTTTGAGTTTGCTTCTGAGTTGGAATGGGCTCAAATCAGAGGTCTGACTTCACTGAACTAACATGTTCGACCCCCATGCCCAGGGAGTGTGGTTAGGCACCCACCCCCACCCCTGCTCCTGGAGGTAGGTTCTGCCTGACCCCAGGAGTGTCCAATGTCCTAGATGACTTGGCTGGAGAATCCTTATGACTTCTGAGCTTGAGTTTTCAGATGGTTAGAGGTTTGCTGCCTTGAGCTCACTTACAGCTGGGTCCTGGTGCTTTATAAATCGCAAGGTCGTGGGGCTCCCTAGACCCAGGCAGATGCTTCCATGCATGTGTTCCACACTCAGTGACCACGGTGGTGACGAGCACCCTCACATCCGAATCTCAGAAAACTACAGGTCCAGGCTGGGTAGATGAGTAAACTCACTTGTTCTATTTAAAACTGGATTCACAGGTGTTCTTTCCCTTCTGTTCACAGAGACAAATTAAATGCCTTACGACGACATAAGGAAAAACTGGAAGAAAAAATCATGGATCAGTACAAGTTCTATGATCCTGCTCCAAAGAAGTGAGTTGATTTAAGTTCAGTGACAGAAAGACAGAACAGAAAGGCTTCTTTTCATGAGTAGGGGGCACACTCAGCCATGGAGAGCAGGGCCTGCACCTTCCACCGTATGGCAGTCGTCTGTGTACAGATCTCTCCCACATCAGAAGGGGTTCAGACTGCCTTTGAGCCCTGCCTCTGTACTCCAGCTTGTCCTTTGAAAGGGGTGCCAAATGCCAGGTGACCCTGGTGGTGCACAGGCTTAATTTAGCCATGAGCCCTTTTAAGGGGGCAGAGCATCTGTGGTCCTGGACCTATTAAAGCAGGATGGCAGGGTCGCCTTGCAGGGTTCTAGCTCAAGACTTAACATGGCACGGACAACCACGTTCCTGTTTTGGAAAGGAAACGGGCAGGACACCCGGCCTGGCCCCACGGTCTTCAAACGTGGGAACCTTTTGGCCTTCTGCAAATTCCTCTGGATTCACAGAACCTCAAGGAGGCTTCACAAACACAGTGTCTTTTCCGGAGAGCAGCAGCCCCCGAGCTGGGGGGCCGGCTCCATCTGGCAGTGCTGCCCCTTGTCCGGGGCCAGAGCCCCAGGAGTCACGCCTTTGGGTTGTCCTAGCTCAGCACAGCCTTGAAGTCGAAATGACCACAGATCCCTCGAGGTCCTTCTGTTGAAATCACAGAACCCTAGAATTTCGGGACCTCAGTGTCAATCTTCTATTTGACACGTATCAAAATTGAGGAACTGGAGGGATTCGTATAAACGGGACGCTGTTTGGTTTCAGAGATGGGGTGAGAACCAGGCGTGGCTGTCTCCATGCTACGTCAGAATGCTGTCAGGTTCCAGCTAGCTGCGGCTTTGTTACTCACCCTCTCAATTTACTGATTTTAATTCAAACAGCCTTCTCTCCACTGCCGTCTTCCCCCTCACCCAGAATACTCAGTGCCGGGGAGTAGTCAAAGAATGCCAGCTTATTTCACTTACTGTTAACTTTAGCAAAAAATGAAGAGGTTCCTGACTCTATTCCTGAAAATGGCTTTTTGACCAAAAAATTGCCGAGTACATTAAGCATGGCACCACATCCTTCGTCCCAGGAGACTAGTGTGGGTTTCTGCCACGACGCACCCGCTTCTACTGTTCCTGGCTCCCTGCCTGAAAATTCGATTCCGCCTCCTGATCCCAAATACGATGAGATCGGGGCACCATCATTCTGAACCTCAAATTAGCCTTCCTGGGCTGGTGACGGAAATCCCAGCCCATGTTAGGGAGCCGGTCACCCGCTGGGGGACGTGGGAGGTTGGATGTGTCCTTCTGAAAATTTATTTCTAACTAGGAAGAACCACTGGATTGGAGCCAAAGCGTTAGTCAAACTCATCAAACCAAAGAAAGAGGGTTCCAGAGAACGGTTGAAGTCGACCACAGACAGCCCCCCCTGGCAGCTGGAGTCCTCAGACCCCACCTCACCATCGACCTCTCAGCCTCTCAGACCACAGCCGGAGAACCCCGACACCCCCCCACCGGGCCCGAGCTGTGCGGAAGAGCGCGACGCCCACAGCGGGCCTGTGGGAAAAGGTAAGAGTGGCCGACCCGCTGCGGTCGGGCTGAGTGAGCAAGGGGGTGTCCCAGAGGATCCGTTCACCAGACGGATTGTACGCGTGCATGTACCTTCTACTTAGGTGTGTTGTGGACCAAGTAGCAAGAAATCCGTGTCAAGACTGTGACCGTTTTGTCCCGTAACACTTATTTTATTTTCGAACAGAAGCATCATTTCTCCTGGAAGCTGGGGTGGGTATTTGACTATCCGAAGCTGATATTCGTGCAGGTGCCACAGAGACAAGCGTGGTAGCGTGTGTTTCCGGGCTCCCTCGTATGTGGGAGATGTATAGGAAGCGATTTCTGTGGGGGGACCCCAGGTGCATTTAACGTGTTCTCCACGTATATAAGATCTTCAGAAAGCCCTCGGGTGGTTCTGATCTGTCATCACTTTGAAAGATGCGTTAGGTTTGCTTCTCCCGTTTGATCCTGGCTTCCAATCCTGCCAGCCGTAGGACACGGCGTACCTTTCCCCTTAGGGCTGCCACTTAGAGTTCGCCAGAGGTTCTGAAATAAGAGGATTTCTGGTCATACGTGCTGTGTTTTTTGAAATCTCAGAAGCTGGAAGAGCTGCACAATTACTTTATATACCACTAGGAAAAAAAAAAAACCCCTGGCAGGCAAATGATGCAGTGCCTGCCACTTAGAATTTTTATTATGCTCTTGTCGAAAGAGCTCTTCTAAAAGACTTGACAGATTTTTGCACATAAACATTAAAGAAAAATATGAGCAAGATAAATTGCTTATGACAGAGACATTTTTGTCACAATTGCCAGTGAGCCAGTGGTGACTGAAAGACGTCGAAGCTGCATTCTGATTTCGGAGATATTAAGGTATAGAAAAAAATGTGTCTTAGAACCGAGTAAACACAGCAGCTACCTTAAACATTGTTAAATTTTCAAGTTTACTTTTAAGTATCATTTTGGGGGGATTACTTACTCCACGTCTGCACTCTGAGTAATTTAAATATTTATGCAGGACACCAGGACTTTCTGAAGATCCAGCCTGTGCCTGAGACCCATGAGCTCTCAGGGCTGAGGGTGTGGCACTGAGGACCAAGGACAAGTGTGACGTGTGCAAAATCCCTCCTCCCCCGGGGTCACATTCATTGCTTACAAGTACCTCTTGTGTCACTTTCAGATGCACAAAAGACACGTGCACATGCACATCTGGGACTAACACTTGCACTCTCATTCTTTACGGGGGTGACATTAGGTAAAGGGCTCGTGTGCAAGTGAATGATAATGAAACTCAACTTTTTTTTGTATCTGGAGGGATTCTGTTGCCTCAGGTTTTCACATTGGCTTAGACTAGTTTAATTTTTTGGTGTTTGCCATCGCAATTTGTATTACTCTGTAAGTTGAATTAATTAACTATAATTAGTCTAATTGAGTTAGGGAATCTCACAGGGAAAACAATGCTTGGCGGGTCCAGACCGTCGAGCTGAGCCGTGAAGGGGCAGCCCAGTGACGGTTTCCGGCAGCAGCCGCCATGTCTTGACCGCTCTCTGGGCTCAGCCCCCTTTTGACTACTTTCTGGGCTTTATCTGTCTCATTTAATCCTAACTGTCTTGTGAGGTAGGCGTGGTTACTGTCCCCTTTTAGGGTTGAGAAGGTGAGGCTTGACTTAACTGCCCTGTGAGTTGTATTTAACTCACGCTAGTCTTGAACCCGGGGGCTCATGAACCGGATGCAACTCACGTCTCTTCACCCGGGAGCTGTGTGAACTAGTTTTCAAGTTGCACATAACTCATGCACAGAAAACAATAAAAAATAAGGAATTTTTCATTAAATTAGAAAGGATCGTTTTGTTTTTGAAGTTTTTATTCTGTTTTCATAATAAAACACCACGGCCCCAAGGAAAACTTTTTTTTTAGTGTGGCTGTCAGCGTGTTAAACACTTGCTGACATAGCAGGTGGGATCCAGGGCAGTTTGCTCAGACTCCGGAGCCCGAGCTCTTAACTGCGTGCAGCTTACGATGTACACGTTCTCCAGTTACAGCTGTTTGGTCCCTGAAGATGCTGAACAGGAGGGACACCAGCAATGAACTGGGTCCCTTATTCTGTGGTGTGAGCCACGGCCACCAGGTGGTGCTGTGGAGGGAGAAATAACGGAAATTCTGGTATCAACTTTAATCCTAAATCAGAAATTGGTTAGGTCAGTTAATGTTAATATAAAACGTGTTCAGGAAGTTAGACCAGTTGTCTGCTTTGTTAAGAGTCTGCAATTTAAAGCATTGTAGGATTGGAGTGAAGGATGTAAAGGGGATGTAAAAGGAAATGATTCTTCTTGGCCTTGAGGAGTTTTTTTGGTATGAAAATGAAATATTTTAATCATTTTAAAATTCATCCTGCCCAAAGAGATTATTTTAGAGATATAAAAATTATTAGTGAATACTTCAGTAGACTATTTCATTACAGTGGGCCAGAAACGTATCATTAAGTGTTTCCAAGGTCTCGGGAGCAGGAGCAGCGTGTGGGCTGAGTTGTCAGGGACCCCATCATTAAAATGGATGAGTAAGAGAAGCCGGGTCCTAAATTAATAAGCAATCTTATTTAATAATTTAACACACTGAAATTGAAAAATCATCTAAGCCATTGGCTCCTTAGGCAGTGTATAATTCTCCTCACGTGCTGAATAAGTAAACCGCTGGTGTTAAGATGCCTCTAAATTAATCAAGTTGAGCTAGATCATAAATGATTCACCGAGCCCTGGTTCTGATCTGCGTTGTCGGGTATGGTTTTCATCTTTCCTGGGCCAGACAGGATTCTGATTTCCTAAGTACGTTTATCTAATTTAGATTCATTTGTAATTACTGTTCATTTATTTGTTTTTTTTTCTTCCTTCCTTTTTGGGTTATCCGGGTGATAACAATTTAGCGTGCCAGCGCAAAAAGAGTCCCTTTTTGAGAAGCAAAAGCAAGGACAAAGACAAGTCTCCAACGACCCACCCAGCTCTCTCTAAACGCCTGCGGTTCTGGTCTTCCTCCGACATCCCATCCTCTCCTAACGAGCCTGTCTCTTTCTCAGACATTGGAGATTTCTAATCCCTTTCCTTTATCATGTGTCTGCATCCCATGTATCCGTCTTCATTTCTGAAATTCATATAAGCAAACGAACAAAAAAAGCCAATACCTAAAGGCCAGATGGCCCCTAGTGGACCCTACTCCTGCCCCAATTCCAAGCTTAAAGTAGCCAGCGTGGATTCTGATTTCAAAATAGAAGATGAGAGTTGTCACACTCCCTGGACCGTTTCTTCAGTGCAGCACAGTTTTAGGGGAGCCTCAGGATATTGGGCCGGGATGCCGGTACTCAGTAAGTCAAGTGGCCGTGTGCTTCCACCCCTCTCTTGCACCCGCAAGCTTATGTCGTGCCTGTGTGTCCAGCAGAACCGGTCAGTGGCTGCCGTGCTTCCTAAAATATACAGCCTCAGCCAAGGAAGGTTTTCTTTTTTAAGACTTATTTTTAAAACAGCTAAATTTAAAACCACTGCCCTTTTCTCCTCTTCCTTTGTCAGAGCACTGAGTTGTTGGCTTTGCTAAGAAGGCCCTTTCGAATGTGTTCTGTGTTTTGAAGGATTGATTGCTCTGTTCAGACATTTTGAATAATTGGATTGATTTTGCCCAGCCTGAGTTCAGCCCAGAATGAAGGTTTATGACTGTGCTGTGGTTCTTTTGACATCCGGATGCTGGAGCTAAAACCGTAGGGGACAGAAAGAACATCAGCACACAAGTCACGACCAGAGCAGGGAAAAATCCTGGCCAACAAGGCCACGACCTACTGCAGTATTTCCCGTCTTCAGCCATTCCTGTGCCATCTCCTCGATTTTTGCCATAGCCTCACACGACCTTACGTATTTTCCCTTAAGTTGATTCATAGTTTGCAGTTACATTTATTTTAAAAGGAAAGATTATTATCAGGACCATAAGTGGAAAATGAACATCACCATAAGAACAAGGTAACCTTAAGAATAAACACACGACTGTAAAAACGTTAAAGTTGGTTAACAACTTTGCTGACTCCATCTCATCACCTCGCTCTGGAACCGTGGGCTGCCGCGGTCCCGGGTCCTCCAGGCCCCTGGCTTCCACGCGTCACGCTGAGGTGGTGCCATCTCTCTGTCTGCCGCTTGTGCTAACCGTGTGCTCATCTCTGCCTCCCCTCTGGCCCTCGTGTAAACTTCACCTTCCCGACCATCCCACCAGACTTGAATCTTGCTTCTCATCAAGGCTATCTTTCAAAGTCCAAACATCCCCTAGATTTCACATCGTAAGGTCTGGGCACTTAATACCGCGCAGTGAGCCCAGACTGGGGAGGGCAGACGGGGCAGATGAGTGGCGGAGCTGAGTCCTGGCTCTGGGCCCACGGACGGCCCTTGGGGCGCGGAGTGGGACATCATGCAGAGTGCTTTGCCAGCTCTTAGGAGCGCCAACCATGTTAATTTTTATCTTGTATTTGAACAGCCCATCCTAGTTTGGGTTTGTTTTTTTTTTAATGTTTTTATTTATGATTTTATTTAATAGTGACAAGAGTTTATGTTCATGGTAGGAAAACTAGAGATTGCAGAAGAGCACAAGGTACGAGGTGAAAGTCATCTTGTACGCAGTCTCACCATGCAGAGATGAAGGCTTCTCTAAAAAACTATATATTGTGAGGTCGGCAGTAAACATCTATTTGAAGTCCTAAGTAAAGCCAATGGGGAGAACCTTCAGATCCTTGGCTACAGGCTGGAGTGGCCCTGGGCAGACATCTGTTAGGATCTTTATAGGTCAGGGATTGGTGTCCTATACACTGTTCCATAGGCAGTGTGCCCAACAGCTAGTATGTTGGGTGGACTTTTATCAACAGTTTGTTTATCTGCTCGAGCTCTCCCCTTGTTTTCTCTCAGCCTTTCATGGCTGGTGGTATGACCCATCATTAGAGCCAGAGGTGGCCTCGTGGGGCCCCTGACCCAACCTGGAGTCAGCCTCCCCGCCCACCCCCCATTTAAATCCTGGCCCAGGAGCTGTGGCAGCTCAGCTTTTGTCTCTGTGGTCCTCGTGCCCTGCTGCCCCTGCTTCTGAGCCTTCGTGTGGTCGCCCAGCCTGGGCACAGGATTTGGCAGCCTTGTTTCTCAACGTCCTCTTCCGCCCCAGGCCCTGGGGATCTAAAGCCAAAGCGAGGGTCCCCGCGTGGAGGCAGCCTTGACCGCACAGATGCTTCCACTGACCCGGCCGTGAAGTCCTGGCCCTCGGAGCTGGGCTCCCGGACCTGCTCAGCCTCAGCCCCCACCACCGTCCCTTCCAGCTCCACCCCCCTCGCCCGGCACCCAGGCCGCACCAAAGGTGAGTCCTGGGCCCCTCCAGAAGGGAGAGCGTCGGGGCCCATGTCCTTCCTGAAGACCCCAGGCTGTCAGAGGCTGGAGGGGGGCGAGGTCTGCCCCTCTCACGCCAGGAGGGTAGTGAGCAGAGTGGTTATGCTGTCTACTGGCTTTGGTGTCAGACACAGGTCCGAACCTCGGCTCTACTTCCCAGCCGAGTGACTTCGGAAATATAACTTACCATCGCGAGGCCTGGTTGTAATGGGAGAAGCTTCAGAACCCACCACCCGCGTTCAGGAAGTGATGGCACCAAGTCGCTTCAGATGGGAGGTGGAGCTAGGGCTGAGAACCAGAGTTTGGGCTAAAACCAGGCAACTGCCTGCACCCCTCCTTGGCAGAAGTTTGGAGGTTCATTCTCTAGAGAGGATGACTTAGACTCTAAGCCGGACGTGCACTGACACAGTTGAGGCAGGTGTCCTGTACTGAAAACAAGGGCATTCGGTGAAGGGTTCGCAAACTCCCTGTCTCCTGGCACTCCAGAGCCGTGCGTGTTCACACCTTTCCGCACGAGAAAATAGTCTGAGTAATCACGTTACCTTGAGAGATGCCCAGAGTGGCTCAGTCAGATCCTGCCAGGTGACACCCAGGGAAGTTCAAGGATTCCCAGACACCTCAGGAGAGTCTCCAACACCAGAGATCAAGACCGATGCAGACGGCAACTGGAGTTCACAGACATTAGGCATAGAGATGAGAACATTTGAGATGCCTGTCCTTCATTTCGTCAGAGATGAGAGAAACTGTCGCACCCATGAAACGAGAACAGGGTGCTATAAAAAGGAGCAGTGGGAAGGGGAAGCATTTGGAAATTTAAAATATGCACACAGAAAGGAAAAGATAATGCTTAAAACTGAAAAAGGACATTCTGCTTATAATTTAAGAGATACAAAAATATACAAAGAAACAGCTTAAAAGGGATTGAAAGTGATTGCCTCTGGGCCTTGGAAGTCTGCGAGAGCAAGAAGGGGTTATTTTTCATAGTAACGCCACCCACTCTTGAAGCCCCGGGTGTGCCTAACCTTGGTTTGACCAGCAAAACAAAGCAAAGCAGCACAGGGTCCCTGCCCAGGGGACCTTTGAGCTCCAGAAACTCATAGCTGGGCTATAAACTATCTTCAGCATGGAGACCCCACTGTCATTTTCCAGGGGGCCCAGGGTCTACTCTGAGATAGAATCCTATAGGCTTGAGACACGAGCATTTTCTAGTCCTCGGGGAAAGGCAGGTTCATTGATGGCCCTGGGATTCCCGGGTCTACTTCTGGTTGGGAGCGGTGGGTGCAGGGTTTAGTCTCCAGGGAATCAGCCTGTCCCCTCATGGTAGATTCGGATTCCACCACTGTTGCTTTCTTTTCCTTCCTCCTGCCACCTGAAGGCAATGTGACCCCTAAGTAGTCTTTCACTTTTGGCCTTTGAGATTGGAAGAGGCTCCCAGGGCACTAAATATTCAGTCCTTTCATGTCATCCTTAGGCCAGAATTCACCATCAGTCTCCGTCTTGGTCACAGTCACTGCACAGGCAGAAGCGTGATGATTAAAGTTAAAGGGGATGGGAGTCTGGAGTGTTAGGGTTGTCCCAGCAGGAGAAGTGCAGAGGGATGTGAGAGGCAGGTCCCAAAAGCACTGTCCACGTCCCCCCCCTCATCCCCAGGAGCTGGCCCGGGGTTTCCCGGTGGACGGTGCGTGTCCTGGAACCCTGGCTCATGGCCTTGTTTCACTGCAGGCTGTAATTCGGATGACAACCTCTGTGAGCCGTCCCTGGAGCTCGAGTTCAGCAGCCACAGGCAGTACGGTGAGTGGTGGGGTGCTCAGACTGGATTTTATCAGTCGTACATTTGTTTCAAGTTAAGTCCTGTGTGGAAGCCCAGCACAAAATCGGTGAAGGTGGGAAGAGTGAGGGGCCCGTTCTTCCTTGCCCTCCCCAGGGGCCTGAGCGTGTGGTTTCCCCTTACATACCTCCAGTGGTGGGGAACTCAATACCTCCCAATCATTGCAATTTTGGAAGCTCTGACCACTCCTGCCCTCCCCCCACCCTTTGCTTTCGAGCACCCCTCCGGGTTTGCCAAGAAGGTCTGGTGGCCCAGGCGAGGGAGCGTTCGTTGCAGGAAGGTCTCTCACTGTCCTCACTTGGGCTGCAGTTGCCCGTAGTAAGTTATGATTAGTCTTAGAAGCTGTTATAAGCGCTTGTCATTTGATTTAAGCATATTGTACATTTCTGCAGATGGAAACAGTCAATGATACCAGACTTCTCAAAAATTAAAACCTGCTTTGGTTTGTTTTAATTTTTGAAAAGCAACCCTGGAAGGGTGGGCAAATCATCCTGAAAAAAAAAAAACCTCTCAAAGTTTACATTGAATCCTGCTTGCTTCTCAAGCGGTAAGTGCAGGAGCCGGCGTTGTCTTCTGTCCATTGTCTAAAATGTTCCATGATGTGGACACTCATTTACACAGACGTAGACGTCTACAGTTCATACGGACAGTTGGACACGGGGGCCCCACATAGCTCTGTGCATCGTGCAGAGCACAGGATGACACAACAGCAAGAATGTGCCCCCTCTGCTCGAGACGGTCTCACCGAGTAGCTACGGCTGTGATCGGTCTGCTGACCAAGGGGTTTTCTTCACAAATGTTCGGATTCCTGAGTTTGTCTTATCAAGGAGAGAAGGGAAAGCGGTTTGTGACGCCGAACTTGAATAAACAAAGGTGCTCTCGCAGCCCACTGTTTGCTGTCACCGTTTCCTCCTACTGAAACTTACTTCCTTTTTAAAGAGCGATGTGCATTTGTTTATTGCAAATTTTCCCTTCTCTCAGTTTTCACACTTTTCATGAACACCAAGTGCGTTTTGGCTCATCCCCAGACACTGTGCTAACGAGCATTTCCAGATGCCTGCTGTTTGCAGAGCTCCCCAGCACGTGGGAACCAGGCACCCTGCAGACCCAGGAAACCCAAGCAAGCTTTCCTGGGGGTCACGGCAGGCAGAGGACCTCCTGGTGTACCTGCAGGCTCTCAGGGCTGCTGTTCAGCTCAGCACCTGCTGTGCGCTAGGGAGACGCAGAGATGGCTGAAACACCGTCCCTGTCCCCGGGGATCCATAGTCCAGCAGGAGACACACTGTTATGGGGCAGGCTGCTGGGAGGATCGTCCAGGAGAGGCCTGCGGGCCCCGGAAGGGATGGCCTGCGCTTCGCAGGGGTGGCGCCAGCCTTCCCATGAGTCTGCAGCAAGGCAGCGTGGCACACACTCAGGCAAGCACCCACAGTGGCCAGGAGGGCTGGGTTCCCTGGCACTTGGCACCGTAAACCTTGATTTTTCCCTTTGAGGCAAGTGACGCGAAGGAGCTGAGGAACAGCAAAGAGCCGGGAGAAGCGAGTGCTCCCTTCCTCCCAGGGTCCCCAGCACCCACGCCCCGTGGATCCCCTCACATGACGCCTCCCCGTGCGCAGGCACATGCTTGCATACACATACACGTGTGCACGAGCTGGTCGAACAGCCCCTCATCTCTGCTCCTGTGGCCTCGGCAGGGGCTGGTCTCACGTGTTCCAGAAAGCTCTGGGCAGTAGTAGGAGTGGGCCCCCTCCCCACCCCAACCTCTGGTTTACCCAGAACAGCCCCTTTGTTTGGTCCGTTCTTTATACTGAAATTCTGGGTGAGATTGCCTTTGTTAGCAAGATCGTTTTGAACAGCAAAACCCTAGACCTAATAAAAATAGGTAACCAGAGTTGTTTCTTGGTAGCCTGCGGTATACTGTGCCTGGCACTCTGTTAGTGAAGCTAAACTTCTCATCACAGTATGTGGAGAATCCCAGAGTTCTTCCCTCCTAGGGGCGTTGGCCGTGGCCTTGGTGCAGAATTGCTTTGGCACACGGTTCTGCTCAGATTGGGTGGTTTAATCCGGGCTACACCTGGCGGGTGGTCCTGCGCGTTAAATGTCGCCGTTTCCTTTCAGTGTCCCGGCCGAGCAGTTTGGAGAGCAGTAGAAACACATCCAGCAACAGCTCACCTCTTAACCTGAAAGGCAAGTCTTCTCCTCTGGACTTTTAAAAATGTATTTGGGTGTTTGGCTCTGGGCTCAGAGTATTCTTATAATTTTAAAAATGCCTAAATTAATAAGACTTTAAAATGCATTATGATGAGTTCGTAAGCCACACGGTGTGGTTTTGAGCACAGGCCTGGGAGTTACAATAGATGGGGGTCCAAATCCCTTCTCCCCACTGACCGGCTCTGAGGGCAGGTCCCCCGAGTCTCAGTCACTTCATCTGTGAGTGGGGATAGTAACAGCAGTTCCATTCCGCTGTGGTTAGAGAACTGAGCCCAGGGTTTGGGGCAGGGTTTTCTCTCTGTTGTACATGAGCCCGAGGTAGCCCACCAGGGAAGCCAGCGAGAGTGCGGCTGAGACTGACACGTGCTCCTCTGTGTCACCTGCCCTGACCCCAGGTTCCTCTGACCAGCTCCACGGACGGTCCGAGAGCTTCAGCAGCGAAGACCTGATCCCCAGCAGGGACCCGGCCACTGTGCCCCGGGACACCAGCACCCCAGGACGCAGCACCCTTGGCCGCCATGAGTACCCCCCGCCCCGGAATGGGCCTCTCCCCCAGGAGGGTGCCCAGAAGAGGGGTGCAGCCCCTTCCCAGGCGGGGGTGCGACCCTGCTCTGCCTCCCCCAGCAGTGAGATGGTCACCTTGGAGGAGTTCCTAGAGGAGAGCAACCGGAGCTCCCCCACCCACGTGAGTGGCCCAGGCGTGGATGCGGGTCTCCCCTCTCTGCCCGTCAGTCTCCCCCTGGCTTGGGACGGGAGTCCTGGAAAGGGATGGGGCAGGGGAGGAGGGGCCTAGGTGCAAGGCTGGCTTGGACGTGGGAGGGTAACAAGAACACTCGCTGGGCCGGGCGCGGTGGCTCACGCCTGTAATCCTAGCACTCTGGGAGGCCGAGGCGGGCGGATTGCTTGAGCTCGGGAGTTCAAAACCAGCCTGAACAAGAACGAGACCCCCGTCTCTACTAAAATTAGAAAGAAATTAATTGGACAACTAGAAATATATAGAAAAAATTAGCCAGGCATGGTGGCGCATGCCTGTAGTCCCAGCTACCAGGAGGCTGAGGCAGGAGGATCGCTTGAGCCCAGGAGTTTGAGGTTGCTGTGAGCTAGGCTGACACCACGGCACTCACTCTAGCCAGGGCAAAAGAGTGAGACTCTGTCTCAAAAAAAAAAAAAAAAAAAAAAAAAAAAACTCCCTGGTGGTCACCACCAGCTGGCTGCTTAGCCCCCAGACCTCAGAGGCTGCTTTCCTCCAAGCCTGGGAAGTGAGCTGGCAGAGGTTGTGGCCAGCACCCCACGAGGCTCTTGCCCACCGAGATCTGGAGCGTCAGACTAGCACACAGCAGCGGGTCGCATCCCCGCTGAGTTGCAGCACCTCCATGTTTTCACGGGGCAGGAGCTATTGGCAGGTGCAGGTGGCTGCTGAGCTCCAGACGGACCCTCGACCCTCGTGTCCCACGTGAACTCACTTCCCTTCCTCCTCTTTCTGTGTCCATCAGCCTCGGGAGAAACCCCGGCCTGCAGGAGGCCGCAGCTACCCAAGCAGCCTCATAGACGTTTGCCTCCATGGCTCTGCCTGCTGCCTGGGCAGGGCGGGCTCATCAGGTGGCAGCTTGATGGGGACAGGTGGTGGGCTGGACCGTGCGGTGTGCTTCCCTTCCCTTCCGCCGTCCCCACCTTGGGCCCTCTACCTCTCCAGCTCCCCCAGCCCATTCCGCCTCTCTTCCCTTTCTTGGACCAGGAGACAGGTTTGGGCACAGCGCGGGTTCTGGCTTTTCAGGAGCTGCTCTCGTTTCCCTTTCTCTCGGCGGCCCGAGGGGATGTCCTTGGGATGTTCTGAGCACGTTGGCGTGACGGGGGAAGGAAGGCCCGGTTCCCGGCAGCCAGATTGCTAGCCCCTGCTCTGCTTGGTGGAAAGAGAGGCAGATTGAAGCGGGCAGTTGTGGTCGGGCTTCCAGAGCCGACCTCCCTGTGAAGTTGTCAGCTCGGTGGGAAGTCACTTCCCTCTTGGATCTGTTTCCTTGTTCGTGAGGTTAGGGGGCTGCCTTGGGGCATCTCGGGATCTTTCCTGGTGGTTCACGTACTGCCCTGGCCACCCTCACGTCCTGACTGGAGCTGGTGTGCGCAGTGCGGGCGACGTGTGTACCTTAGGCCAGGCGGGAACAGAAAGTCCAGTCCTGGCCGTGTGGGCTACACAGGGACGTCTGGGGTCAGAGGAAGTTCCGAGGACCACCTCCCAGCCCCCCGCATTCCCTCCTCTCCCTTCTTCCCTTCTTCTCCATAGGACACTCCGAGCTGCCGGGACGACCTGCTCAGTGACTACTTCCGAAAGGCCAGTGACCCCCCGGCCATCGGAGGCCAGCCAGGACCACCGAGCAGGAAAGACGGGGCCAAGATGCCCACCAGCCTCGTGGCCCCCATCAAGATGGCCGTCAGCACCCCCGAGGGGAGGCTGCTGAAGCCAGGGCAGTGTGTGAAGCCAAACTTCAGACCGGCTGAGGCCGAAACCCCACCCACTGTGCCCCCGAGACAGGCCCAGCCTCCCCAGAGCCTGTCTCTGGGCAGACCCCGGCAAGCCACCATGTCCCCAGCTTCCCACACGCCCCCTGGCCGGAGTGCTTCCCTGAGCCGGGCCTTCAGCCTGGCCTCGGCTGACCTCCTCCGGGCCAGCGGGCCAGAGGCCTGCAAACAGGAGTTGCCTCAGAAGCCGGGGGTTCCTGAGGTCTCGGGGGGCAGAGAGATAAGCAGCCACACCCTGCAAAGCTCCACGCCCCCCGGCTCCCATAGCCTGGCCCGGGAGCGGACCCCACTGGTGGGAAAGGCTGGCAGCTCCTCGCAAGGGCCAGGCCCCCGCAGCCGGCCACTGGACACGAGGCGCTTCTCGCTGGCTCCGCCGAAGGAGGAGAGGCTGGTCCCCCTGCAGCAGTCCGCCACTGTCCCCGCCATTGCTACTGTCAGCAGCGGCGGTGGCAGCAGCTCCCAGCACTTCTCACCTGCTGCAGCCCCGGCTGCCAGGACCAAGTCCAAAACGCCCCCACACTCTGGGGAGATGGCCACCATCGCCCCTGTCCGGGCAGGGCTCAGCCTCGCAGAGGGAGACGGGGGCCCAGCACAGAGCTACATAGAGGGGCTCCCGGCCAAGAGCCCAGGAAGGTCCCCCGACTCGGCTCCCCACGCCAGCCGGGGCCCCGAGGACTGCAGTCGGGGCAGCAGCTCAAAGAGCACACCGGCGTCCCCGGAGCCGGGTGGGGACCAGCAGACGGTGTGGTACGAGTATGGCTGCGTGTGACTCATCTTGTGGACCGGCAGCTCCCGAGTCCTCACACTACTGACACGCCCTCTGATTCCGCCGCCTCTTCTGCATGCGCCTGCGGTGCCAGGAAAGGGTTCGGAATGAGGAAGGGGTTCCCACGCATTTCCCTTTTTGTTTTGTTAATGAAAACACTGTGCCAAGCCCTAAGATGATCACACTCCCAGGTGTGTAACGTGTCTTCTGTATCCGCAGCTTCCAGCAGCTGGTGTGTTGAACAAATCCACTTTGGCGTGGGGACCACTTAGAATGCAATGACAAAACTGACTTACCCAAACGCAGACACTAGTCGAGTGTGCCCCAGCAGAAACACTCGTTTGCAACTTGTTGACCTCCATTAAAGCATATGCGCGCACACACACACACACATACACAGGCTCACAAGGCTAAGCCCCGGTGGGTCTGAAGACCCCACTCCCTCTCCTCCCAAAAGCCATTTGATCCTAGTTAAGCCCAGACCGGCCAAACTACAAAGCTTAAGGGCCGTGGGCAGACCCCAGGGTCGGGCCTGCTGTTAAAAGCCAGGAATGTGGCTGTTCCATTCCTGGGGTCCCAAGCACTTCCCTGTACCCCAGGGCCAAGGCTGGCCCTGGGCATCCGCCTCCCTCCTCCAGCTGGCTCCTGGGCTCTGCACGGAGGGCCCGGGGGCCACACAGGCACCTTCTTCCCAGATTCACTGGCTCACTATTCCACAAACACTGGACCCGCCGGCCGGCCGGGGGACAGGGCAGAGAGAAGCCCCTGCCCACCCTCCTCCCGGTAAGCGTGCATAGTGCACAGAGGGGGCGCCCGGCTGCGGCCCCGACGTCCCCCGTCTCAGATGGGATGCTGATTTATTATTTCTGAATAACTTTGGGGGTAGAAACCAAATTTCTTTTAATATATTACACATATGTGTACACTCTTGTGAAATATGTATACTCGGGGGATCTATTTATGTTCCGTGGGGAGTCGTTCTTTTCCATCGGGAGTCTCGCCTGCTGCTTTGTGTTCGGTCAGATTCCTGACATTCTTGTAAAGGTGCTTTTCCTGGGGTGAACTAAACCTGTTGATTTTTTTTTTTAAGATTTTTTTTTTTCCTTTGGATTTAACGTACTGAGAAAGAAATGGGAGACTTTTGAATGTTAACAAGATCCATTTTTGGGGTGTTTTGGGTTGTGTATTAGCCGTTCCGGCACACAAGGACAGGACTGTAATAAAATGGAGTGGAAGAGAAGCGAGTCCTGGTTTTCCTCACCGCACATTGATAGTGGCCTTAGGTGGGCTGCTGGGGACTCGAGGCTCCCTGCCACCCCACCCCCACCCCCAGGCTCTTCCTCAGCCATTGGAATCCACCGCTTGCTTTGCGGCTAGGTCTGTGAAGCTGTTACACAGCTGACCTGGGACAGATGGGGAGTGCAGAGATTTCCTGCTTACTACACAACAGCTCTGCACCTCAGAGTTACTCTTTTTTTGAGATAGAGTCTTGCTCTGTCACCCCAGCTAGAGTGTAGTCGCATCATCGTAGCTCACGGCAACCTCAAACTTCTGGGCTCCAGCCAGCCTCCTGCCTCAGCCTCCTGAGTATCTGGGACTATATGCACATGCCACCTCGCCTGGCCAATTTTTCTATATTTTTTTTTAGAGACGGGGTCTAGCTTTTGTTCAGGCTGGTCTCAAACTCCTGACCTCAAGCGATCCTCCCCGCTCGGCCTCCCAGAGCCTCCCAGAGTGTTGGGATTACAGGTGCGAGCCACCAAGCCTGGCCTGCATTTATTTTAAGTTAGCAAGGACTGAATCCCGTCTGGATAGCGATTCGCCTCATGTCATGACAGCGGCTCAGCTCGAGGGTTCCTTCTGATTTGCCCCCGGCTACTGGGCGAGTAAACGCGGGGTGCTTAGATCCGACGGATGGAAGGAGAAAGAGAGGAAAGAGGGCAGGCAAATAAATATCCACATGGGACCAAAGTCTTTGGTGGTGGTTCTGTCCAGCTGCTGCCCCGATGTCTCCTTCCTTCCCCACCAAACTTATTTTAAGACTCTTGCCTTGTTGCCTCCTTCCTGAGGCTCTGCAATCTGTCCTTGTATCTGGACACTCAGCGGGAACTGCCATCCTCACTGCTTTGGGCTGGACCGAGTGGCGGCCACCTGCAGTCTTCATACTGTGTGGCCTTTGCAGAACTTGACACCTGGCCAGTCACTCCCTGGAACTCTCAGCCTCTGTCCCGTGACTCTTCCTGGGGGACGGCTCTCAGCACTGGACAGTGCCTCACTCGTTCCTCCCCATGGACAGCCGCCTGCGTGCTCAGCCTGGGTTCCACCTCGGCCATTGCTTTTCCCTCCATAAACCCTTTGGGGCCCGACCCCGACCTCTGTCTCTCCCTGCACACTGACCCCACTTAGACGTGACCTCTAGCCCAGCCTCCTGAGGGTCAGGCCTACAGCCACCCCACCTGACAGCCCCAGCACATCTCCCCTGCTGCTTGGGACCGTCTGTCCCAGTCATAGGAGCCTGAGCTTCGGGCTTGACCCCTCCTCACCATGTCCGTGTTTCATAGGCCATCTCCTGAGCATGAGAATGTGCTGGAATCTGGCTCCCTCTCTCTGCCAGGGACTTCTTATCCTAGGTCAACCCTCGGCCAGTTAGGCTCCAGCTGGCCTTTGGTCGCGCTGGTCCAGCAGGAGAGCTCCTGCCAAGGTCACCAATGGCCCATGTCAGTAATCCAAAGGTCACTTCTCAGGCCTCATTGTCACCTCTCTGGTAGGTGCACTCACCTCAAGTGACCTTCCTTTTGGGAACCCTCCCCTCCCTGAGTCCTGTACTAGCCACACCCAGCCCTTTGCCAACTCGGTCCTCTCTCCAGGGCTCTCCTCAATCTGACCACGTTATGCCCTAGACAAGTGGGGACACATCCAGAACTTTAGTCACAACCTGTCCCCAGAAGGCTCCCAATTTGTATCTCTAGCCCCAGCCTCTCCTCCACACTCCAGGTCTGAGTTTCCAAGGTGGATGTCCCAAAGGCACCTCAAACTGCCCAGCTTTCACCCCCCACCCTTCCCCCGGCAAGGCTGGGCCTGCCTGTGCCCCGTCTCACCACGCCCGTCCCGCATCCGGAGGATGTTGGGCATTCCCCTTGCTCTTCCCCCACGCCCTGTTACTCCACCAGCGGGTTTCAGCTCTGAGACCACGTGTCACAGCCACAGCCAGCCCCAAGCCACAGTCCCCCCTGGGCAGTCCCAAGGGTCCTGTGGTGGACCGTTCCAGGGCCCCACCCTCTGTTCCCATGTGGTGTGCGACCTGGTGTCTGGGACACACCCCAGTGGCAGCTGGATACTCGTGCCAAGAGAAAGATCTGGGCTCATCTGTGGGACAAGAGGGCTCACCCTGAGGAGAACACTAAGAAAATCAGAGCAGAGGACAGCCCCTCGGGGAGCCTCCAGCCAATGTTTATCAACCGACCTCTGGAGGGGGAGGAGAGAAGTGTGTGTGTCTAAATTTTACAGACATAAAGGATGTATAACGATTTACAAATGATACCCTTTTTGTTGTGGAATTCATAATGCCAATTGATTCTCACAGAAAGCTTTCACTGATTTTTTTTTTTTACCAAACTTGTGTATTTGTAGCCAACCTATGCATACACCTGACCAGTGAGTGTAGCTCCAACACAAATGCTGGCTCATGTTTCCTTTTATGATAACATGTGAGACGAAAGGGAAACAAGCCTCCACTTCGTTCACCAACGACGTGACTTTGCTTAATCAAGTAGCAGTTTCTGAGTGCTGGCCGAATATTTCCTCAGTTTTTCGTGCTGTTCTCATTGTAATGGCTACGGACATGACACATTTTTTTTAAAAAATGAGATATAATGTATATACCGTAATATTCACCCAAGACATTTTCTCTATCCCTCTCAATTAAGTCTAGAGATTCTAGACAATGAAGAAAACATAAACCAAGCCCTGATATGTAACATTTGCCAATTTATAAGGTGGAACTACTCTCACTGCGGCCAATTTCAAGCTGCCAGCACCGAGCACGTCACTACGCACGGAGCTGGGAGAGATGCGCAGTGGCACCATGACACAGTGTCACCGCTGCGGATACACAGGTGCAGATGACCTGAGAGCATAGGCGATAGTACGATAATGAGGAAATGGTGAGTTTTGAGTACCTATGGCCTTGTTTTTAATGTAAATTATTTAGTTGTAGGTTTACGTAAGTTAAGTTTTCATGATACCAGTGCTTAACAACTGGCTTGCAAAATTCCTGGAAACTCATCGATCTGCTCTCACAAGCCGGCACAGGTCAGGCTCCAGGACACCACTGGGAGCACAGCTGCTTGGGCTGGGCCAAAGAGGAGGGGACAGAACAGTTGAGAAGACGTGGCCAAAGAAGGAGGACCGGGGAGAGAAGTTGGGAGCTTCGTAGCGCTGACCATCCTAATTGACCTTGGTAGGTGCAGACGTGTGAGCGCTGGCGGTTTCCTTCGTGGTTTCCTGCCCTCCCAGCCCCAGGAGTGGCCTAAGAGAGGGGCACCAGGGTGGGAGAGCTGGACAAGGGGACCTCATTCTAAAGTGTGGTGAGGGAGGCCCAGCAGGTGGCCCCAAACTCAGCCTCCTGAGAGCCTGATTTGAGAGCCATGGTTTGCCCACCAGGGCACACAGGTGTGCCTGGAGGTTGGAAAACTATCCCAGGCTTGTCTCTCTCCTCCCACCCTCTCTCCTTGCCCTTCTCCAGGGAGTAGAGCAGAGCCAGCCAGGGGAATCTGACGGACCCCAGGGCCAGGGGGCAAGCCCATGAGGTGGGGCTGTGGTTTCCACCTGGCAGGGCGGCAGGGCTCAGAAACGTCCCCTTTCCAAGATCCGGCTTTGGGGCCCAGCCCCCCGAGGTTAAGTGGATGGTGTCACATCTGTCTGAGAGCTGGCAGCGGCAAAACCAGTCACCTGCTTCCCCTCTCCCCTCCCCCAAAGAGAGGGCAGACAAATGGGGGAGGGGATTCAGCCAGCCCTGCCAGCAGGGGACAGGGCAGGAAACCTCTGGGCCCCTCCGAGCTTCCCCCCCTCCCCAGTGGAGGGCAAG